TATCCCTCTTTTTGTTTTTACCAATGTTGTGCAAAGCTGATTCTTTGTTAAATGCAGATAAAAAGGTCAGATTGGGTCAATCCTCCTACAAAACAGCAATGTACAAAAGATGTATTAAGTTATATTGACTGCAGTAGAACAAAGGGATCAGAACAGATTTTGGTTAGTTTAGCTGCTTGTTTTGCTGACCTGTGGAGGTTTCATCCTCTTTCTTCTCAGTGAGGAAGACTCGTTGCATCATCAGTTTCTTCATGGTATGGCACATGTACTTGATTTCTGGGCCACTGTCTGCATTTTCTGCAGACATATACAAAGGAGACATATAAGGAAAAACAAGCAAACAAAACAAAAAATCATGTATAAGTACAACAGCAATAAACATTGAAAATGTAAAGAGCAGAGCCTTACCTTTCTGTGGTACTTCGTTGAACAGCACACAAGTTCCTAAAGCATCTTTGAAGAGGCAAGGATAGAAAGTACATTTTGGTTTAGTTTATTATAGGAGTTAACAAAGGCTCTTTTAGTGCTAGTAAAATAGTCAGCACTACTTAATTGTTTTTCCTGTTTGTAAACAATACTTCTAAAAAATATGCTTCTATTTCTGTTCTCTCCACTGCAAAACAAGATTATTAGGAATTGAGTAAACTGATTATTTATTAAACAATTATCGCACTTTTGACAGTGCAATTTGGGCCATTTGTCATTAATGAAGCCACACCAGTCAGTCACTGGCATTTCAGGTTAGAATACAACTCTTTGGATGTGGTGTTAAGTTGCATGTTAATGACATGAACAACTGTTTGAACAGGAGGGAAAGGAGTAGAGGATATATGGATTCTAACAGAGGCCATGTGTCAGTTAAGCTAAATAAGTAGTACTTTGAATTTCTTTTTCCTTTTTTTCTTTCTGGCTTATTCTTACCTTCATATTCACCTGCAAACACATACTGTCCGACCTGCATCATGGGCTTGTCACTGTCAATATCCTTGAACACAAACAAAAAACTAAATCAGCAAAGCTGCAGTAAGACTGACATTTCCGTGTATGTGTATATGTCTCTTCTCTTTCTTCCCCTAACAAAATACCTGGAACTTACCAGTATCTTGCATGTTCCCTGACACCTGGACATGAAGTCATTGCTGATAACACCTGAGAGCTCCATCACAACAAGCTGCTCCTAAACATATCAGAATCAGAATCATCTTTAATGGCCAAGTATGTCTGAATATGCTGGAATTTGACTCCTGAATAGAGGGTTGTGCTGTAAGGTAACAGGAAATAGAATATAACTATGAGAATGAGAATAATAAATAAAAAAATAGAACCATGAAAAAACTGTGTACGCATAAAAACATGAAATATGTAGAATCAGCATAGGAAAAGAACGAGAGGAAAAAGAGATACAACGTTCATAAATATATGTATTCTGCATATAACGACATAAACATTAGGGCAGAAGAGATATCAGACTGATGAGGAATAAGTTGAATGAGGGACGCCCAAACACGTATGGAGCCAGAATAAATACAGGCAAAAATCCGAAACTCCCATTTGAAAGGTTAAATTGTATTCAATAAATGCTGAAAAGTAAACGGAGTTTACTCAGGGCTAACGTTAACCTGATAAAAACATGAACTTAAAAATTAATACATTTGGTTTTTCATACCTCCTCTTCCCATTCCTCTTCCATGTTGAAAGTCCTGGAATGGAAAAAGAAGAACGAATTATAATCAACTAGTTAATTTATGTAATAATTATGAGAGAAAAGACATAACAACGCCATGAAAACTAGATAACTTCCGCGAATGTACGGTGGCCAAGAAGTGTTTTTTCCGGCTCGGCTGTTTTTAGTTACAGATCTCGGCCACAGATCTCGACCATTGAGGTGAGCTGTTGCACAGCTGTATAGGCATGTTCTGTAGCCTTGACATTTTATGTGAACTTGTGAACTGAAAATAGAATTAATACCAATTATGTATCACCCCTCTTTACTGTCTATCTATCTATCCATCTGTCTATCTATGTATCGATCTATCTGTCTGTCTCTCTGTCTGTCTGTGTCTCTTCTTTCAACTTATGATCTAGTATAGCTACATGTATCACATTCATCTATATCTAACATTAATGTTATTAATGTTCTCCTGCAGGAGGCCATAGCTGAGGTGATGAGATGAGGTGAGATGAAATGAGATGATACACTTTATTGATCCCCAAGGGGAAATTCTTCTATCGAAGACAGAGGCAATAAAAACGAAAGGAAGCCTACACATAAAACATATCCAAAAGAAAAAAGAAACAGTCAAACAATCTGGAGGCTGGATGAGAAACCATACTCATTTATAAAGTGCAACATAAAGAAAAAATATTAAGCAAATCCAAATAATGCTATAGCTTGGTGACATGAACATATGTGAGGGCACCTAAGGGAGACACAGGACTTTTTGAGTGTTGCTTTGCCATGACTACAACAATTATACAAAAGTGAATTTGAACACCTCTGTACTGTAACTTGGCATAGGGGTGCTGGACTGTGCCAGAGCAAATCTATTCCTGATAAACACACATCACAACTGTATTTTTTACATCAAAATACAATTTAAAACAATTATAAATGGGATCTAATGAACATACCATTTATGACCTAAAAAAATGTAGTGATTTATCAAAAAAGATTCCATCACTTTTATTAAAAGGTATTGAATTCTCCAGTATGCAATGTGTTGCTGAATTGTGGCATAGACAAATGAAATCAAACAAATGTTCTATAGAGCAGTTCTGGTGAGAAACATTTAAAGTCAGAGAATTACAATTATTTATCATATACACAATGAGATAAATGTAATCGTCCTAATTAATAATGACAATTGTTTTTTTCGCTTGCTACCCTGTGAGACTCCGGTCAGTTGAGGGGTGCTGTAATCCCTGGAGCTGCTGGAGATTTATCATCCTGCGCGGGACAGCTGTGCTTCAAAAACCATGTTCCTGGCTCATTATGAAAAACAGGGCAGTTGTGGTAAATGGGACTTCTAATATTTTCAATGTATTTGTGCAAAAATACTACATTAACGGTCACTTATGAACTGTCTCTAGTGCCTTTACATGTTCAGGCCAATTTACATTTTTGCACAGCGAATCCAACAGACTGATGGAGTTAACTGCAGTAATACTGAGCTGTTTAAATCGGACTTTGACAAACTCAGTACGTTTTGGGAGGTTTACTTAAACTGTCCTCAGATTTAGAAAAAAGATTCTTGGGAAGATGGTGTTTTAATACACAAATATCTTTTTGCTCCTGGGCTTTCAAATACCTGCATTTCCTCCTAAGGAATTTGGAAGCAATAGTAAACACTCAGGTTCTACGAAGCAACCATTTATTTATGCATTAGAAGAAAATGACCATTGTTTTTTCCACTCTGTTGTAAGAACATGTACAGTTTTTAGTTGAATTGTATTTCTAGCATTAAAGAAAATATTCCAAGGTTGAGAAATATCGTTTCTCCCTCTACAGTGTCTGTCTAGGTGCCATAGTGCAAAGCAAGTAACTATGCAATGCAGTTACTCAGAGGATGACAGTGTTCGCAGGCTTAAATACCTGTATAAATGTAAAACAGGTTGATGCTGACTGCACCTCACCCTTAGAGAGAGACAGAGAGAGAGAAAAAAAAACATTATGAATCAGAATCAGGCAAACCAAATTAAAGGGGGTGCAAATTCCCCATGTGCCTTCTCCCTCCCCATTTCTGGCCTATCATCTATCTCTGGACCATGGAGGTGTTGTCATGTCGACCAGCCCACAAGTTACTATGACAACGGCTCAAGGGGAAGCACTTGCTAGGGAGGTTATTGCCTCCTTGGGGACGTAAGAAGGACAGGAGGAATGTGAGCTGAGACAAAGATAGAGGGACTTACAGAAACAAAAAAAAGGCTTAAAAGAAGGGAGAGGTCAAGTTAGCTGGAAGTGTGTTTGTGTGTGGATGAGGCCAGTTTACATTCACAATCATACAGAAGTGGACACACTCTGTAAATCAGAGGTGCCCCTTTGAGTCTTTGGATACAATACAGAGTTTTTTTTTATTCTCCTGAATGAGGCCTGAGCCGCTTTTGTACATGATGTATTACACTTCCTGCTTCCTACAGTGCCATAACCCAGGGGCAAGGGAGGGAGTGACATTAAGGACCCTCCAAGGTGTCATATGGGTCCCCAGCTTCCCCCATATTTTGTCATATAAATGTCATAAAGACAAGTTTGGAGTCGGGAAGCTTTTGGCTCTCCTTCTGCCTGGGGGGTATCACAGTGGTTAATTGCCCCATTAGCACTGACAGGGTAAATTGGTGGAAGGGCTAACTATATATTACAGTGAAAACAACAACCCCTGGCATACACCGGAGGGCATGGAAAGGATGGTGCATTTTACATTACATCCTTGTGTGTGTGTGTTTGATTGTGTATGCAAAAGATGTGACTTCTAAATATAAATTTATGTTCACACGGGAGCTTTAATATTGGTAAAATATTACTAAAATATTACAATTCTATATTTATGATTACGGAAATGAACTCACAGTGCCAGACAGGGAGAGCATCTTATCTCATATCTGTGTTGAACTTTCTCAAGGTGTACATTTAATCAGTCAGGAACATTATTCCTGTTCTAAAGATGTAATTTTATGCCAGGATTGTTTTTGAGAGGGCTATGCATTTATGTGTTATTGTGAAGCACAAACAAATATGGCACAGAAATGTAGACATCAAATGTGTGTTCACCTGCATTTCACTGTTGTAAATGGGACCAGTAAAATGCCATTGTAAATTCAAATGCATATGCAAATTGACACCAATAACCATCTATGTAATATTAAGGATTATTTGAAAATATTGTTATTGTGTATAATACTTAACAAAATATGTTTATAATGAAATTCAAATAGGCTACCTGTGTTAAAATCAAAGCAAAATCATTAAAGCCATATCTTTTTTTATGGTTTTATTTCCCCTAAAATCATATCTGTTTACAAGACATTTTTATGCCAAAAAGAAGAAAACATATAAAAACTATATTAAAAATATACTTCAGTTCCAAGATGTATGAATACGTGAGGATGAAAGCAGCAGTTCCCCATGTTACTTTAGCTTCAATTGACATTTTAACATTTTACATTTTGTTTAACCCTATAAAAGCAAGGATGCACCTACAGTAGCAGAACAATTGTTTCTGTTGCACACAGACACACACACACACACACACACACACACACACACACACACACACACACACTACAGTAATAGTAGCAGTCAGTGACACCAAATCATCACTGTTGTAGGTATAAAAACAACAGAAAGGACCCAGATCTATGTTTGTGTTTACCTGCAGTCGTTGCTTAATTGGTATGTGCTTTAAACATTTAGTGGCACCACTTAAAACATTTTTAAATTGTAAAATAATTATTAGATGTGCTACAAATGTAGGTCAAATCATTTGGCACTTACTCAAATAACCAATAGATTATATATCTTTTTAATATATAGATATATCTTAGCACAATTGCAAGAAAACAATCAAACTAAACTAGGAAAAACTAAAATAAAAATGTCAGTGCACTGAAAACCAACATAATGAAATATCATTAATATTCATGTATTATTCTGATAGGGAAGTGCGGTTGTTTCCCTCAACAGTGAGCTGACAGTAACCTCACAGTTAAAGCTGTATCTGTTGTTTTTTTTACCATATGTGGTAATATTATTATATTATATTCCTATATTTTTCCTTAGTGACTTCTAGTTGCAACCCTGTAGCTTTCATGCCTTTATAAAATTGTACCGTGTTTACATTTTAAATAAGGGGAAAGTCAGCGTTGACAATCAAAGCCTAATTAAGTTAAAACATAGCATTTGATCTTACAAATACATGCAAATTCTCCTTCTAAAATATGGACGATCGACAGATTGCACATCCAGCATGAAAATCACAATAGTATTATCATAACAATAGAGCCGAGTGGCGAGGATGGGGTGGCAGGAGAAAAGGGGGGAAAACTCTGTGAGGATAAACCTAATGGACATGTCAATTTATGCGTACATTTTTTGTTGTAGTTGTTTATTTGTTTTCCAAACTACGAAAATTAGCCAACAAACCAATATCAGAAACGCAGACCTGTCCTCTAAACCTGCTTAGTTAAAAAAAAGATGTCTCATTTTATATTCAAGCATATTTAGATGAGACTTTTTTCCATATTCGATGTATAAGCAGCCATTTCAGATCTCTGTGTTAGTCGTTACCATTTGTCAGCCCAAACCTGGCGACTTCAGAGTATAACTTTTTATAAAGGAAGTCAGCTATTACACAGAAATGACATTATTACATGAAACACAATGCCATTTAATTTTAGTACAAAGCTTAATATCTGCATTTGAGCGTCTACCTCGTTCCTTGTAAACAAAATATTATGATATTCTTAAAATAATCTCCCAGGGCCTTGAGGTGTATAGTCTACATTAGTGAATCACGGTAGTGTCGCATTTTCCTTGCATCAAATATTCATCTAAAAAGACTACTGGTATTAATTTTGTTCTCAATATTGACTTTATTTCGAAATTACTGCAGTATTTTAATGTGTATATTGGTGTAATTAGAGATGTTTTTGCTATCTCCTCTATATTTTTAGACGATCGGATTAATCCATCGAAAATGATCTCATTGGGATTTTTCAGCCATATTTGTAGATAAAATTCAACGTTACAGTTGTAATTTCTCGCACTTTTCAAAATATTTTCCTCTCCTCCTTCTCTTCTCTATACGTGCCCTGTAGCCTCTCCCCCTCCCTCCTCCCTCTCAGTCTTTCTCTCTCTCGCGGAATCCTATTGATCCAAACGGGCTAATTAGCGGCGTCTGCGCAATTACGCACATGCGCACTGGGCGTAATCTCAGCCATTTTTTGAAGGAAACTAATTAGCAGGAATAAAGAGCCAAGTGTTTTTACCCCCACAGTGATCAGAACTCATTCTACCTCTGGAGCTCGCACAAACCCCTCCGTCCCCCATCTTCTCTTTACTACAGCCTATATGTAGCTTTAATTACACTGTTGTTTGGTAACAACTTGGACTCCGCTGCTCCCTCTCCCCATTTTCCCCTCCTGGCTCCGTAAAAACGCAGAGGATCATTCAAAGGGAATGAATGGGCTCTCTATACGATTATTTTCGGGACTACTACATATTCAGCGTACGAAGCTTTGTACCAGAGCCGCTGCAGAAATGTAAGTGTATCATCTGTTTACGATATTAAAGGGAGCTGGGAAGAAGCAACCCAGCGGTGGGGAGGAGGCAGTGTATGGTCAGCGCAGCATGTAAGTCGCACAGATCAAGCTTTTGTTGATGTGTTTGAGCACTGAGTCACCTGTTACTGGATACTGAACGCGATTACTCTTGGTTTCGCTGAGTCGGAGGGTGGTACGGTGCGGTCCACTGTAAACAAAGGCTCAAGTCGTCTTAGAGATTGAATGTCGGTCAGTGCCTTGACAACACAGAGACGCGGAGTGAACTCCTCAAGTTGCTGCCCGTCCGGTATTCTAAAACAGCCACGTTATGGTCCCAGAATTATGCAAAATACAGTTTTGTGCTGTTACCTGAGAATGGAGCAGGCTGCATGCAGTCCACTGGGTCCTCACGCAAGGCAGTTGCGTTAAAAGAAAACGTGTCCATGGCCAACTGTTTTTGTCCAAGTCCTATAATGACAAACAAAATGCATTTTCCTAGAGTACTGCCACACAACTCTTCTGGGTCTCTTTCTCTCTCTCTCTCCTTCACACGCATGTCTCTCCTTTCTCTCTTTTCTAAATACACGCGCGCACACACATACACCAAGGAAGGTAAAGTAATAGCCAACATTTTTTGTTTGATAATCGGACTCGTATGCACGCTAAATAACAAAGATGTCTTGCACGTAAATACTTCCTTATACTGTAGTTCTCCAGTAATATGCCAGTTAAATTCCAGGTGCTCTGTGTGTGTGCTGAATTGACTTTATCAGAATCGGTTTGCAGTGCACAACAGGATGTACATACACACACACACATGTTGTTAAATGATGGTTTCCCGCACTTGTGATCGATAGAAAGCCAGGAATGCTTGTATAAATAGTTACATTGTCGATAGACCCAGGTTATTGATTGCAGTGTAAATGAAAATCTTTATCAGATTAGAGACTGTTCTCAGCTGCTGGCAGACAGACTCAGCCCCTTACAACTCTCTGGCAGGACAGCGGGCAGCTGCAGTGGCCAAGGGTCTGTGGCCTGTGACATAAACACAGTACATTAAAACACTATCTGAGTGCAGATAGGAGCCATATATTTTTAAACTGCAGAGAGGGGAGAGGATGGGGGTGTATACAGGAAAGAGGGACAGGAGAGAGGGTGAAGAAGGAGAACAAGGGGGAGGGGGTTGGTTGGTTGAGGAAGGAGGTGAAAGGGGACATTAAGGTTTCTCCTTGATTAAACAAGACCCGTAATGAGAACATGGGATACAGAATAAGAAGTGTATTTGTCTCATCTGGCATCTATCTGTCAGCCAGAAACAGAAGAGAAGGCCAGGCCTGGTTCATTTTTAGTAAGTCTCAATAGTGATATATGATTGGTGATTAAAAGTCTCGGTAAAAGCCAATTGGTATATTTTTGGACATTTTATAATTTAATGTTTAAAATAATCTCTATTATTCCTTTGATAGTTTCATTAAAACCAAATGACTTCAAAAGCCAAAGAAATACAGCCTAAAAATGTAGATTTTAAATCTTTAAAATATTTGTTTTTAAACACTGCACTGTTACTGGCTCCACATTGTTATATAACATTTCAGTTTATTACAAAAAGGGACTGATTATTATTTTTAATGTTCAATATTGCTTTAGTGTTATGTGAGTGAGTGTGTTTATACTGTACAAGTAATAGGATTTACAGGGGGTGGACACAATATTATACCTATTCACTGAAAGGAGGTCAGAATATAATACATGGCCATGTGACATAACCACAGTCTGAAATCTGACCAAAAATTGTATAAACTTGAAGCAAGAATTTTTTGTATTTTTGGGCTAAATTAGATGAGACAAGTGTTTATTATGCTCTGTGTGTTTACACTGTGTTACAAAATGGCTTGTGCTAAACAGAGATTCTGCTGCCTTGTGTAATATCCCAGTACTAATGTGCAGCAAAAGATGTAGAGACTGATACACTGGCTTTAAAAACTGTTCTTTTATCCGCTTTTATCTAAGTGTGGTAATTTAGTGAAAGCCCTTTAGCTCAGAAGCATTCAGTTCTTTATTTAATCTTATCCCCTGAGGAATATTATGGACCTCCTGCATAGCCCTTACCCGCATTCCTCTACCTAGTTTAGTGCTCATGCTATTGATTTTCCCATTAAAGGCTAACACTAACCCCTAAGTAACCAGCCTCTGTATTGTGCACTGTGAAGGCTGTATTGAACAGATGCTATCCAGGGATTCTAATCAATGGCTTCTGTTGTTATGCAATATTATTTACATGACTCAGGTATTTCATTTCTTCTTTTGTTTTTCTTCTGTTTGACTGTCTGACTCTCTTCTTCTCTTTCTCTGTATCTGAAACACACAGGTGGGGTAGTAATGTGTGGCAGCTGTAGCCTCTGGTATGGACAGCGGTGAGGGAGGAGGAGGGGATGGAGGGGGAGGAGAGGAGAGAGATGTTGACCTCAGCCCCCAGGCTTTATCTCTTCCTCTCCTGACCCCAGTGGTCATTCCTGAGCAGGGGTCAACCTCTCATACCTCAGCCATGGCCCCTGCCAAAGAGCCACTGACCCAGCTTGAGCGGCAGGAGGAGGAGGACGCAGAGGGGTCCCAGGCTAGAGAAGAGACCCAAGGAGGTGAGCCGAAATTAAGAGACCAACATTCACAAGACGGAGTGTGTCAAAAACAGGGGGTGAAGGACGACTTCATCAGGGAGAGATATGTGTCAGGGCAAAGGAAGGAAGATGGGGAGGTACATGTAGGTGTGAGAGCGGCGTCAGTTACAGGGGGCCTCTTAGCAGTCTTAAGCAGCAGAGGTGGAGAGGAGGAGAAGGAAGAGGAGGAGGCCAACTCAAACCAAAGCCAAACCAAATCCAAATGTTCTTTATTACCTCAACAGAGCCAGCACAGCTCTTCTTCCAGCACTGCAAAGGTCAGCGGCACACTCGACAGCAAAATTGCCGCCTATCCAAAGCCCTCCCCCACTCCTTCCACCTCTCCAAAGCCCTCCCCTTTTCTTTCCACCTCTCCAAAGCACTTCACCAGTCTGTCCTCCTCTTCTGCCCTGCTGAGCGAGACAGAGGTAAAAGACATTAACGGCGATCAGGGCTGGATTTCTGGGTTTCCTCAGAGCTTTAAATCCCAGCAGTCTACTCTGGCTTTTCCACTGGCAGGTACGGAGCCTGCCAGTACACCTGCTGAGGATGATGGGCTGGCAGGGGTTCCTCTCTCTTCCATTTCCAATGGAGATGGTGCCAACGCTCCAGAACCAAATGTCAGCCAGCTAGACACAGAGGTGAATGATGAGAGAGACAAAGAAGGTGAACAAAAAGAAGATGTCCTTAAAAACCAAGACCTTTCTCCTAATTCCCTGACTAGTCATATGACCATAATGCACTCGCGCAATTCCTGCAAGACACTGAAATGCCCCAAGTGTAACTGGCACTATAAGTCTCAGCATACACTGCAAGCCCACATGAAAGAGAAGCATCTGGAGACGGTAGGCCAGTGTGTGTGTGGTGCCTCTGGGGGAAAGTGTGTGTGTGGAGGGGCAACACGAGGTGTGTGTGGATATTGCAGTTCGGGGAAACCCCATCCACGCTTGCTACAAGCCTTACCGCTGTGAGGTGTGTGACTATGCTACCTCATCGAAAGGCAACCTCAGCATACACATGCAGTCAGATAAACACCTTAATAACGTTCAAAATGGGGGAAACGCGAATGGCCACATGCACACTTCTCACATAAACAACAGCAGCCCCTCCAACGGTCACACTGCAGATGAGCAGACATACAAGCTTCCGCTCTCTATTCCAGCACCCGCTAACCAGCCTGCCAAGCTCACACCACCTGCACACACGCACTCTCATGGTAAACGGTGGAGGTGTGATGTGTGCGATTATGAGACCAGCATTGCCCGCAACTTGCGCATACACACCACCAGCGAGAAACACACACACAACATGCTACGGCTCCAGAGAGGTTATTATCTGTCTCACTGCAGGAGCCTTGCCCCACAGTTTAAACACCTACAAACCACAGGTGAGTAATCCATCACGTCTCTCCTTGTCATCCTGTATAAAATTTGAAAGATCTAAATTCTTAAGGGGCTTCTCTCTGTTTTAGGCGCTGAGTTCTCCTTGAACATGCAACTAACCAGTCAAGTTGCAGAACAGCCAGTCACCCTTGGGTCTACACTGACTCCTTCTCCCTCACCCTCACCCTCTCCCCCACCAGCCCCATCTCTGTCCCCCACTGGACCCCTATCCCAGGGTATTTTCCAGTGCCTCATCTGCTCTTGCTTTACATCTGACAGCTTAGAGTTTGTGGAGCAGCACCTGAATGCCCCTCGTTCCTTGCCCCAGTCTGAGTGGTGCTCCCTGGTCGCTGGTGGCTGCCATTGCAGACTGTGCGGCTACACTACTCCACTGAGGGCTAACTTCTCCTTGCACTGCCAGACTGACAGACATCGTACCAGGTACCAGCTTGCAGCTCACCTCCAGGAGGGTGGAGACAGGGGTCAGGAGGGGGCCGCCCTTATTGCTAAGGGCAACCCTGTCCAGCTGAGGTGCAACCTGTGTGATTACATGACCAGCAGTTTGGAGAAGCTACGAGGACATTCCCTCAGTTCACACCACGAGGCCAGCATTCAGATTTATAGGGTTAGTACTATCTCAAAAATAACCCATTTATCCAGTGACCTCTGAAAATATTTTTTTTCAAAATTCATTTAGCAATCTATGATGATAATAACAACCTTTTTAAACAGTTTCTTCAATGTGAGCCACATTGTCTAACTATAATAATTGTATTTCCTTCTACCTCATGTCTTCAGTTCCTGCAGCAGTATGATGGCGAGGTTGATGGAGGTTCGTGGCTGTTCCACTGTCTCCTATGCAACCACTCCTCCTCATCTAAAATCCAAGTACTGAAGCACAGTCAATCCACAACCCATCAGGAGAAGGAGGGGCTACTACAACTGCAGCCATTGAGTGGAGAGGAGCTGGCGGCCATTTTTACCATCAGAAAAAGGCCTGATAGTGTCACAGGTGAGAATGCAAACTGTGCGGGTGTATTTGATTTCATGAGTTCATGCTGTATGTGCTTGCTGACAGCAGACAAGGGATTAAGATGAAAAAAGTGAGAAAATGAGTAATGGCTATTGCTGTGATATTGATCAGGTAAATTGATTAGTCGATACAGATTGTTGTTACACCCCCAATCACCTCTGACAACGGCTAACTAGCACCTGCTAATCAATGAACCAGTACAAGTCTTCTGGCCAAGAATGCGGGGTGGGGGAAGGCAGTCACCAGTCTGCAGTCTGTGCAAGAATAAATGCTGTTTTACATTGTTTGAAGGGTGTGAAGCACCAGCACAACATCTAAAATGACTAGTTTAACACTTTCGTTGTAAATTAAGTCTTCCCTGTGATTTGCGCTGTGCTGATTAAGACTTATGGAGGTGAACTGATGTGCTGTAAAACCATATTACCTCTAGTCCACCTCTGAGGAGAATCTAATGGAGAATCAATACTTGATCGATAGTGTATGGAGGCAAGCAAGAAGAATGAAGTGTGATCTAGAGACACAGATCCTTTTGAGGGATGCTGTCTAGAGAATAATATAGCCTGATAGTCTGTGAGAACATATTCTATGAAAAGCTGTTTGTGTAACACAAGTATTTCTCTTGTTGCTTCCCAGGAGAGCTCAATGAGGATATGGAAACTTTCAGTGAGACCACCACTGGTCCTTTGGATACAACCAAAGACGCATGTAACTTGGGGGTACAGCAGATTTCTGAGGAAACAGGTGTGACTACTTCTACAACCAAGACAAGTCAACACATTCCACAGCATATTATAATTAATACAAATGATGGTATGATAACATTTGTTTACACGTTCATGTAAAATTTTATTTGAAGAAGAAACCAGGGAGGAGGAAGGAGAAAAGAGGGAGTCATTGCCCTCAGTCAAGCGCCCATCTTCTGGATGTGGGGAAACAGAAAACTCCATCTTAACCAAACGTCCCAGAATACACCAGCAAAATGAGAACCAGCAGGTGAGGACTTGACACACAATAATTTAAGCACAGTGTGTCCATGTGAATGGGATATGTAACAGTGAACATTTCTGGATTAGAAGACATGGCAGTTGCTTGTGTAATCTCACAAACCCATGCACATCTGTGCTCTTTTGCTGCCTTCTCATTATACCATTTATTATTTTTCTCATTTCTCTCTACCCTTCTTTTCTCTTCTCACCTAGACTGTCCAGTGCCCTTTGTGCCAGGTTAAACTCCCATGCACGCACCTTCGACAGCATCTCACACATGTGCACAGTGTGGCACAGGATTGTGTAGACAAGCTCATCAGCACAGTAAGTGTATGCAAGTGTGTATTTGTATTATTTGCGTTCATCCAGAAGGAAAAGAAAATGAGAAGGCAAAGCGGTGGGGGATGGGGGGAGAGTGAAATGTAGGGAGACAGTTCCATTAAGAAGGCACCAGAGAGAAAGGCAGCGCTTTTTTTAATGCATGTTTAAGTAGCTCCCCGCTATCATCTTTGATGCAGCCGTGCATTCTGTGTGTATGTGTATATGCGACTTTTAGAGTGGAAGACGGAGGGTTTGACTGAGTGAGTGAGGGAAAAGCCAGTCTTTCTATAATGCATGTTTAAGTAGCCCTCTATTACCAGAAGTGCAGTCAAGCTAAAAAGGGGCCCCCATGCTTTTTACTGTGTCTCTCCAACTAACAAAGACTGGTCATCTATCCACATCACCATCCTCCATCTCCCTGGCCCGTATGCTAAGTGGCCTTTGTCTCTTGCTCTCTTCGCCTCCTCTTCACTGACTGCTTTTCACCCTTTTTCCCCTTTGCTGTCCCTCCCTCCCCCCTCCAGCTACTCCTATCATTTCGTTTCTGCAGTCTCTGTCCTTGCCCCTCCCTTTTGGTCTCTCCAAGCTCTCTCTCAATTTCTTATATTACCCCTCCCTTACTCACTCTCCCTCCCCAAAGCTGTGTTTTGTTCATTGCCCCATACTTCCTCCCTCCTTCTTTCTGCTCTCTCTTTTTCATATTCTACACCTCCTAGCCCCCCCCATGATCCTCCCTCCCTCTCCTCCTACCCCTCCCTCTCTCTCTCTCTCTGATAGTAATTGAGGTTCATTAATTCAGACTGAGGTGATGATGGCCATTATGTACCTTGCTTTCCAATTATGCTCTCTAGATTAAGCCTGACCTTCAGTTTTCTCTGCAGTGTATGTGTGTGTGTGTGTGTGTGTGTGTGGTGGTGGTGGTGGTGGTTCTTCTTTCTCTTTTATGAAGCTGTTACGCAGAGAAAACTCTTGTCATGTAAATCTCATCTTTAGTTGTCTGTCCTTTCCTTAGGGTAGCTAGCTGTTCAGGTAGATAAAGTATTTGCTCTCAGTGCTTGCAGCTGTGGCGATAGAGGTTTTCTATATGAAGACTGATTTAAAATAAATTCATTATTCACCTCAGTAAAGTTTTATTAAACCCTTGGGGCATGTTGGAGGGTGTCATAGGAGCTGAAGGGCAGACCCACATGTCTCAGCCATATACACTTATTACCAAATTGATGTGCCTTGCTGCCTGTTCTGCTGTGCAGGCAGGTGCAATATGTAACAATACACTTACATATTCACATTTTAATGTTTTATGATGTTGTGACAGGGAGCGCAGGCACTCCATGTTTATACATCTTGATGCTTGCTTGCTGTTATACTTTACAATTAAACATGTTTTATTCATAATGTTGGATTAAGAAAATATGGCAATATCCCATATTTCCTTTGTTCTGCATTGGTAAAACGACACAAAGTGTGGCTGGCACTAAAAACCTAGAAAGTCCAAAAATGACAGACCATCACATTTTCTTTCTTGCAGGTCACACCATCAATGGAACAGCTACAGCCTCAGCTGGAGACAGAGCTACAGACAGACTTAGCCACAGATGATACTCAGAAAAATAAAACCACCAAGAATAACAATGCAAAATGTTCACGCACTGCTGATTCTATTTCTTCACTTGATTCACAGAAAAACAAAGGTTAGTGTAAAATGCATGAAACTGACCACAATTTATAATAATAATCAAAGTATCATAAATATCAAATCATGTAATGTTAATTAGATTAAAACATACACTTGTTGGTCAAATGTTAATTGTAAAATAATTAAATTCAGAGTCACTATTTCTATGCATCTTGCAGGCGTTTTAGTGGAGAACAGTGATGGAGATGTAGCCGCACCCAAAGATGTCACAGCTCTGCTTACCCCACCCCTGGAAGACAACACCACTCACCCCAATGGCAGACTGACTCCTCAGTCCCCGAATCAGATCCCCACCTCTTCTCCACCCACCTCCCCACCCAGCGATTCCCCTCCCCTTTCTGATCGCCATGGTTACCGGTTCCGTTGCAGCAGGTGCAGCCTGGCATTCCCCACTCAGGAGAAGCTCCAACTGCACTGGCAGTACCATGCCATGAGAGCGGCGACAGAGTGCCCCCTCTGTTCTAGACAATGCCGCAGCCAGAGGGCCCTGCAGAGACACATGCAGAACACTCACATGCAGCTGGACAACACACAGGGGCAGAATGCACTCATGCCACCTCATACTGCACAACACATAGAGCCTAGTAAGAGTTCACTTCAACAAGAGTTTAGTTTATCTCCTCAAGTGGGTCAAGAAGCAGGAGAGGGTGAGGAAGAAGACACAGAGGAAGAAGCGCCAAGTATGGAGGTAAAGGAGGAACAAAAAGAAGAAGCTAAAATTAGAGAAAAGGACATGGTCGGTGAAGTTAATGGAGATGAGCAGGATTTAACTGAGACAGAGAAAGGGCCACATGAGGAGATCACATCAGAGCCTAGTTCCAGCTGTCTTGTAAAAAAGAGCTCTAACCCCACAATGGATCGCTATCTGGATCCATCCAGGCCCTATAAATGTACCATATGTTCTGAGTCTTTTACTCAGAAAACTATTCTGCTGGTCCACTACAACTCTGTGTCCCACCTCCACCGGGCCAGACGGGCCCTGCAGGATTCTGGTACAGGTGTTCCTGCCTCCGAGACCCCCCGTGGCCCGGATCCTAGACCATACCGCTGCAGACTGTGTGGGGTGGGCTATAGCCAGAGCTCCACACTGGACATACATCTTCGCTCTGTCCTTCATCAGACTAGAGCTCGTGCTGCCCAGAACTCAGCTCCACAGGTCCCAGCATCTGGTGTAGCTGTTCCAGTGTCAGTCCCCACTACTGCTGCTCAGGCTGTTATTACCAGAGAAGCATCCAAGAGTTTCTCCAAGAGGACAGAGGTAGTAAACTTGTCAACATCTTCATTATTAGGCCCTGGCTTAGCAGCTGATGCACAGCCAACCTTCTCTAACTCAACTGACAGCCAGCAGGCTAAAAAAAGAGTTGCAGAGCTTCTAGCATCGAGAAACCAGCTAATGCTAATACAACAACAGCAGTTAGTCCAAGCTCAGGCACAGGCCCAAGCTCAATTACAACAACACACAGCTCTGCTCCAGTCCCAAGTGATGCAGCATTTTCCCTTAGGGCCAGAGAATATCCTTAAACAACATTTTCCCCTGGCACCAGACAACTTGCTCTCTCTGCAGCAGCAGCTTCTCCTGCCTTTTTATTTGTCAGGAGATATGAATCTTAATTCAGATATAGCTATTAAGATTCCAGAACTTAGTCAGTTAGTATCTGCCAACCCCATCCGAACAGAATTCCCTAAGACAGAGGCTAAATGTGAATCCCCACCTCAAACAGATGAGAAACAAACTCAAAGACAAAGTTCAAACTCAAATGTTAGCCAAGCAATGGAGGATGTGCAGTGTGAGGCTAAGGTAGAAGCAGTCTGCAGCAGATCCTGCATCAACCAGACAGAAAGAGAATGCAGCATTTCTAGTTCTGAGGAAGAAAAAGAAGAAATGCCTGTTACTGCTGTTAAAAATGTCAGTCAAAAGAAGGAAACAGATTCTTCCGCCTTTAATATTCTTGGGTTGCAGTGTCCTCCTCCCAGAGTGCCCTATGCTGCTGCAAATGGGGAGCCTCTTAGAGCCCTACTGCAGAGCTATGGCTATGAATTGGCGCTGCAATATATACAAAGTAGACACAGACACCATCAGCAGACAGCACCCCAATTTATACCAGATAAACAAATGTGTTCTGATGTCAACAAGATGGAGGTCTGCTCAGAGGGGGAAAGAGATTACCTTAGCGAACCACAGGATGGAAAGATGGAAGGCTGCAACAAGGAAAACAAAGGAGTCAAAGGCAGTGGAGAGATGGAAGGTTTGCCAGAAGAGAAAATGCAGAACAAAGTTGAGGTATCAGCAATCAAAGGGAAAGGATGTTGTGATGGAGGAGAAAAGTGTAGAGATTGTGGCAAATTTTTTTCAGATGCCTTGGTTTTAAAAAGCCACCAGGAGTATATTCACAGGACGCTGTTTCCAACTGCTGAACTGGAGAGGTTTTCTAGAAAGTACAGACTGCAGTATGACCAGATGCACCCCTTGCAACAGCCTAAATCTGGGGAGAATTCATCTGCTTGCCCTGAAGCTGCAGCCTCAGTCCCAGCATCATCCTCAATGTCTGAATCAGCACCAGAACCAGTTAAGCCTCAAGTTAAAACCCTTGCACTCTCACCCGTACCTTCAGTTTCAGATCCCATAACCAAAACATGTGCTACAGCAACAGACCTGACATCAACTGCCCCTGCACCGTCTTCTCCATCTGATGTGCAAACTCAGTTTCCACAAGAGGCAGCTATCCCAAGCACATCTGCCGCAGTGAACTCTCAAACCGCATCCCCAGATAAGTCTGTATCGCTTCCTTTACCTAAAATACCCATGCTCCCTCTGCCCTTGCCCCAGCTGCCCATACCCCCATTGCCTTTACCCAAGCTTCCCCTGCCCCCAATTCCTTTTCCCATGGAGCTACCCCTCCTCCCTCCGGTTGTGATGCAGTCTGTGGCTCTCCAGCCCCAACCATGGTTAGACTCAAGTGTAAATCCTGAACTGGCAAAACTCTACCAGTCTCAACTCAACCCAACACTGCTAGGGCAACAGCCACAGCTTAGTCCAGCTTTATTAAGCCAGCCTCCACAGCTCAGTCCTGCATTGCTGGGTCAACCATCCCAACCCAGCCCCATCCAAATAGGACAACAAGCCCAAGTCAGTCCAACAATGCTTGACCAACAGCCGGGAAAGAGAAGCCGAACACGAATCTCTGAGGAGCAACTGACTATTCTGAGGAAACACTTTGATATCAACAGCCTCCCTAGTGATGAAGAGCTCAGTAAGATATCTGCTTTGTCTGGTCTACCTCACAAAGTCATCAAACACTGGTTCCGCAACACCCTGTTTAAAGAACGCCAGCGAGACAAGGATTCCCCTTACAATTTTAATAACCCCCCAACCACAGCCCTGCAGGAAGAACTAGCACAAAACCAGCCTCTGACACTTTCTCCATGTTCACTGTCCCCTGGCTTCCCAGCCAACTCCTCCCCACAGCCCCAGACAACAGACATCCAGAGAGGAGAAACCCATAGGGGCAGGCGTTCTTCCCGAACTCGCTTCACTGAGCAACAGCTGGAAACTTTGCAGGGGGTGTTTGAGGCCACTCCCTACCCCAGAGAAGAAGAATATGACAGGTTGTCTGCTCTGTTGTCTCTCCCTAACAGAGTCATTGTTGTGTGGTTCCAAAACGCTAGGCAGAGAGCCCGCAAAAATCAAGAACGGGGGACAGACGATGGGTTAGACGGGAAGAACCAGCACGACAACATATATAGACAGAAAAATGACTGTTACAAGAATGATGATGATAACAGCTGTGGGGATGAAGGACAAGGAGACTCTCAGAATGAAAATTCCATGGATCTTACATACGAGTATTACACCCACCCTGACTCACCTGTCCTTGATTTTTCCACTCAAGGCACAGAAAATGAGCATCTAACCACCAAAGGTGAACAAACACCTGTTACTAGGAAACAAGAAAATAAAACAGTCTCTCCTCAGGCTAACAAGAGCCCAGCTCTTGTTCAAACTCAGAATGTAAATTCAGATGCAGACATCCAGGCTAAGGAAATAGTTGAGGCCACAAAAACAGGGTCCTTTCCCAAGCTGCAGCCAGAAAATACTCCAGAAAGATCCAAGCCTTGCTCTTCTTCCTCTTCAGAAGCAGTACCTACCGTCTTATCTGTGTCTCATTCCAGCCAGGGGCATATGCATAGCCTTCTTTCTAATCAAGCCTTTGAAAAGTTTGCTGATGCATCACCTAACCTCCCTTCTGCTCCAGAGTCTGAAACAAGCCACACTCGGCTTCCTGATGTCACCTCTGGTCTACCCACTGAACCTCAGCCACAAAACCAGCTCCAGCTTCAAACCCAGGCTCAGTTCCAGTGCAGTCTCTGTCCAGTGTCCTTGCCGTCATTCCAGCTGTGGCAGGAGCATCAGACCAGACACCTCCTGGCAGCACAGTCCCAGGTCCAACTTTTACACTCTGGCTTCACAGACCGAACCATGCCTTACATGATGCTCCACCCCAATCACACCCTGATGGCTAGCCAAATGCTGTCAAGCGCTATGTCCCAGATGCACCCTAATCCCACACATCCCATGATTTCACACTTGAACAGCATACAAATTAAGAACACACTCTCTGATCACTCGAATAACACCCTCACCAGTCTGTCTCAAAGTTCTCTGACACCCATGAAGCAGAGTGCAAAGCCAATATCGGAGAGCAGTTTTGAAAACCAGAGAGGTGGTAGAGAGGTTGAGGAGGAGCACAGAAGGGATAAACGTCAGAGAACCACCATCACCCCAGAACAGCTTGAAGTGTTGTATCAAAGGTACAGCCTGGACTCTAACCCCACCAGAGGAGTCCTGGAAAGCATTGCACAAGATGTGGGCCTCACAAGACGTGTGGTTCAGGTATTTTATGGATGTTCTTTGTGTTTAAATAATACAGTATGTGAATGTTGGATGATCTAATCCTGCTGTGTAACTTTAAAAAGCACTGGTCTTTCCTTCACAGGTCTGGTTTCAGAACACACGAGCCAGAGAGAGAAAGGGACAGTTCCGATCAGTGGGGCCAGGATCCAGTTTCAACTTGGGTTTGAACCATCTGCGCTGCCCATTCTGCAGGGCTCTGTTCAAGGTAAAGAGTGCTCTGGATGCCCATATGAGGTCACGCCACTGGGCAGAAGCTGAAAGAGCAGGCTACAACCTATCGATGAGTAATGGAGCCACTGGGCAGGTTGGGATGGCAATGTCATCTGTCATGGACAGACCAGGCCCATCTGTCTCCTGCAACCCTATCCCAAACTCTGGCTATGTCATCAGCAACAAAGAGTTAAATGTGAAGCAACTTGTGACATCTTTGTCTTCAACCACTGATCTGAACAACCAAGAGGAAGATGATGACTATGAAGAAGATGATGAGGAGTACCTATGTGAGGAGAATTCCAGTATGGCTGACCAAGGGTCTCCTAGTCCTGAGGGATCTGGGGGTCAAATGTCAGACTGGGGTGAGACACAAAATCTGCAGCACCACCACCATCAGCAACAGCGCCAAAGGACACAGATGAGCCACTTCCAGGTACTCCAGCTCAGAGACTTCTACAGGAGGCATCGTACACCCAACCGACGTGAGTGTGAAGCACTGGGCCAGGAATTGGGGCTGCCTCACCGTGTGGTGCAGGTAAATATTATGATAAAATAAAATGCAGTTTCATCTGTATTCAGTGTTTTAAGGCTAATAGCTAACATTTATTCATACTTTTTTTTTTAATAGGTGTGGTTCCAGAATGCCAGAGCCAAGGAGAAGCGGGCCAGGAGTCTGAGCTCTGACTCTGCAGAGAGGGAGCAGGCCGAGCTGTCTGCTGGGGCAGGGGAGAGAGACAGAGCTTAGAGAGGCAGGCTAAGGTCCCTTTGCTTCCTTCTGTTATGTTTTACGCCAAACCCTTTCTGCACCTGCTGTCAACATCTAAACATAAATCCTGTCCACTTTGCTGCCAAACCTGTAACCTGAAACCCCAAAGATGCAGAGCCACAGTGGCCCAAAGAGAAACTCTCTCAAGTGAAAGTAGGAGAGAGTCCAAACCACATCCTCTCAACCACAGCTTTCCTCTTTTCATATTGTTCTTAAACTCTTCCCAAGTCTGTCCTTTCTTGTTGAGAACAGCTCCTCTCCCTATATTGTCAAACACCTTACTACAACCAAACACCACCTTGATAAAAAAAAAAAAAAACCCGGATGCCACAGAGGCCAAAGACCATTCTCTAAGTATGTGACCTCACTGCCCAGCTAGACCTGCAGTCTACCTCTCAGTCTGCATGACAGACTCACAGTGGGCCCTCCACCAGTGCTAGATGACTAGCTGTGTAGCATGTAGTGCCAGTCTATGTGAGGCTGGAAGAGAAACTGTCAAAGATATTTTAGTGTAAATAGAAAGTTCCAAAAGATAAACTTGAAGAAAAACAAAGCGGTTAGTAGTGGAAGAAGAAGAAGATGGAAAAAATGGAATAATATCCTTGAAATGGATGGAGGTATTCGCATAGAGCTTTTGTAAAGACTGACTCAGATTCCAAAGCTCGTAACCAAAATTTTACGTCTGTGGATTTAGTTTCAACATGTCTGTTCTCAATAACAAACTTCAGAGCTGACGTCTGTATGGTGAAGGGGTGAGATCTGCACCTGGCATGGGTAAGCAGAGTACCAATAGACTGACACGGTGCTAGAATGCAGCTTCACCCCGCACAAGCCAATGATGAGTCTTCTGTTGTACACGTACACCCTTCTATGTTCCTTTAGTGGATAACAGCCCAAATAGCACAGAACGTAAAGGCCAGTTTGTCTTGAAAGAGGCAAACTATTTTTATAGCACTCAACCACTAAACTGTATATGAAAACTTTAACCAAACTCAAATTACATTGTGTGTGTTTAGTAATAGTTTCTTAATATAAATCTTATGGATTGAGATAAACTGTCATGCGTCAATATAATAGTGTCATGATTACAAAAAAGAATTATGACAGCTTTGATATGTTCAGTTAAGGTGACTTACTGCCTTTCCGTTCTATTTGAATATACCAATGGCTTTCCAATGTTACGTGATTAATGTAAAGCTTTCTATGCTCAGGTCAGCAGTTCGACATGGCTCTGATTCAGATGAGATCTTAATTCTGTACTTTTCTGTTTATAAAACAGAAGAAGCATGGTTTAACCTTGGACTAAGTATTAAAAGATAAGTACAAAAACATCTCTGTATTTCAAAGATCTGAGCTTTTCACCTCTGAGTAATAGATTGTTAAAACCTTATTGAAACTAAAGTGTTTAATAGTTTGAGGGGTAAATGTACAGTATTTAGCTTTTGTATGGTTGACTCAAGACTTCATTGGATGTTTGAGACATAGCTTCCTTTTCCACTTACAGATAGGGAGCTACTGCGCAAAGCTGAGAAAAACTTTGGATGTTATTGATGTTATTTTTGTACACTTAATTTATTTTCCTCTTTCTCATTCCCTACCTACTCCCCTCTCTTCCTCTCTACCTTTCTTCCTCTGTTCATTTGCAACCAGTCCTTATTCTAACTGTAATAATGATAATATAACAATAATAGCTAAACAATAATTAATGCTTTAAAACAAAAATCCAAAGACGTGATAATACTTTAACCATATGACCTACAAAAATAAGCGCTACTGTTTACTTGATGATGTATTGCTGTTTTTAAAGAAGGAAGGAGTCCCTATATCTAAGCTACTGTTTTCTGCCTCTCATAAGCACACTGGAGACTGTAACCAAAACCCCAAACTAGAGCCATGGCAGTCTGTTATATAGCGGTTAAAGAGTTTTACTTCTCTTGAGAAATGTTGCAGTTTATTTTTCTTTCTTTTTTTACCATAGTGTTGAACTTCAGCCCTTAAGGATGTCCAGTTTGCTGCTAATGTACTGTAGTTTTTAACAATACTGTAGAAAGATGCATGCTCTGATCGCTTTACCACTAGGCTTTAATGACTACAAACTGTAATGATACGGTACCTGTGATGCTGTTGATAAACTGCTCCTCTGTTATTCTGTTGAAAAGAAGTGGATATGTGGGGCTCAATTCCATCAAGTTTGTTTTTCAGTATTGTAATAATCACCCCCTAGTCAGAAGATAAAAATGGCTTTCATAATACCAGAAATATTTTTTCAAGCTTCCAGTTTCAAAGAAACCTACTTGGGGCATTAATTGTTCAATAATTATGAAGATACTGCATAGTTATTTGAAGGAGATCAGTACCCCACCTAATGCTGGTATTGTGTCAGTCTTTCTGTGTTGCAGTGCGTCTAGTCCATTTGTCTGACTAAAACAGCTTTTGTGAACTCAGACTGACATTACAGCCAACTTTCCAAAGGATGTGGACTGACTAGCTCTGTCATGTTTTGCTCTTAAACTAACCAATGTTTACGACAATACCAATGAGCTTTCTTCTGTACAGAAATGTGCATTCCAAATACCACAAAGGCAGTTTTTTTGTATACTGATTATTTTAAAATTCATTTTTCTTGTATTTTCTTGATCTTAGTGACTGTAAGATGTACATATTGGGGTCCTTCATGGTGAAGGGACTCTGTTATCCTTACCATAGGTAAAACTATTCTTTTTGTTTTTTTTCTGGATATGTTGTTGCCATAGTGATGACCAAAAAGATACCTGTGATGTGCACCTGTCCTTATGTCCTGCTCCAGTGGTTTAGTGTCTCTCTACTGTCCCTCCCCTAGTTCTCCCCTACTGATGTGTGTTTCTCTTCCTTTCCCTCCCCATACTCCACTGAGCTAAATAAAGTCTGCTTTGGTGCACGCTCTGGTCTCATGCCTTTGGTCTAACCGAGAGAAGCCATTTTGTGAATGTTGTGGTATGTGAGGGTGTCTGCCTGTTTTGTGTTTCATATTCCAGGTTGTATGTTAGGTGGTGGTGTGTGTCTGGATAGAAGGCTTTTGATGTGCATCTGTGTGTGTGTAACACGGCACTTGTGTGGAAGGCTTTGGTGAATGAAGCCATGACCTCTGGGGTCACTTCATTAATTACATCTGTGACATTCAGCCAGATGAGTTTCCTTTGTGACTAAATGATATGATGAATATTAACGACCTTGGATGAATTACACTGCTGCTCCTGCTGCTGCTGCTGATGATAATGTGCTTTACGACTCTGGGACAGAGGAGTGGAAAATTGCACACTACAGCACATTTAGGACATGCAGATTTTCATATGCAACATTTCAAAAACCACAGCATTTGTGAGAGTAGGTTGGAAGAACACTGTTTATTATTTTGCTCTGATTCTGTGTTGAAATTTAGGTGGCTGATGGTGGCAGATGAAATAACTTGTCAGAGAAGAAAAAGTTAAATGAACATAGAAATGTCTTGTTCATTCTGGGTGTCAAGAACAAACTGGTATCTCTTCCTTGTTCTCTAGCAGAAAGCCATTCATTTAACCATTACACAGAAATGTAACAACGGAAAACAGTCATATTGGGGTTGCAGGGACAAGACAAACATACATGGGGAGAACAATAGCAAAGTAACCACAGAAGAGGGCTTGAGATGGCTTCGTAGCTGATGATAACCATCTAAAAAAGTCATCCTGATAAAGTGATCCCCCACCATTTCTCCTTCTTCCTACCTCCCCCTCTTAATCAAATGAGTACTGTGCAGCTGGTGGGGTTGCGGCAAAAAAGAGGTATGAGTGTGTGTGTGTGTGTGTGTGTCTGTGTGTGTGTGTGTGGAGAGGAGGTGAAGAGAGGGGTTTGAGGGATGGTGTGAAATTATTGCCTGCTGTTGTGTATATGTGTTGCTGGGGGTAGTCGGGTAGAGTAGGGGGTTGGGCTCAGGCTAGGGGGGTGTAATGTCATTGCCTGCTGGTGTATCTGTAGTGGGGGCTCATTTAGATTTAGATTGGTTATGTGAGGAGAGAGCTGAAAGGCCAGCTCATGTTTATGCATTAATCCCAGAGCATGCTGCTGTGGTGGAGCCCTGAGTTAAAGAGACAGAGCTAAAATACAGTCGCACATATAGACACAGCTCTGCATGTGTGGATAAGGCTGCAGTCAAAGTGACGCTGTGCTATCAGATACATTTCAATCAGTCTGTGTGTGTGTAGGCCTGTTTTTGACACTCATCCATCTCTGCTTGCTTCTGTATCTGTAGATAGAGCACACCCCATCCAAATTAATGTCATGCTCCTTTTATCTGTAAAATTATCTCATTTTAGTTGTAAAAATGTGAGCATCACTGCCCGCTGCCTGTCTGTCCTGACTACTGCTTTAGTGTCTTCTACAGCTGATGTATCACCCACAGTAAACGCATACTTCCCACATTACACTCACTTATTCGTTGAGAGTCATCAGTAAATGTCTTTGAAGGAGAGTTTGTTCAGCACTTCATCAGGTATAAAGTGGTTTTTATTTGGAAATGTTGTCCCTATCCATCTTTTAAATGACTTTTTAATGGTCGTCACACCATCCTAATCAATCATGTGGCAGAGCTAGCCTGCAAGCTCAAATACACTCTATTTATAATTCTTATGTTCTGCTGCAAGAAGTGACTCTCTGTCTTCTTAGTACTGTAAATGAACAATATGATCAGTGTGAATATTAGAGTTCCTATAAAGATCTCCAGCATCCTGGGTATGGGATCTGTCTTTATATCATATTAATACTCTATAGACCTCTCTCATAGGGTGGATAGTATAACTTATAAAAAAAAATGCTACTGTTTATTGTCATTCTTTGGCACCTCCTCCATCTGCCCCACATTTTTTGTGACCCCCTCACCATCCCCCATCCATACCGCCCCCCCAGTACTTTACTTTACATCTATAATGAAATACAAATACCCATCAGCAGGACAATGTCCATGCCACACGTCACTGCGTGAATATGACTCACACTTATTAGCTGGATTATGTTAATCTTTACACTCTGCTCACAGACAACAGACTTCTCATGATACTGGGGTGGTCACAGCAGTAAGGGGGTGTTGTTATGTGTGTGGACGTGCATATGGTTGTATATGTGTGTCACAGTGACTGCCATGTTGTCAAAATGATCTGCATGTGAAAGGGCGGTCTAATTACATCACTTATGCAAATGAGAAATGCATGTATGCAGGCACATACATACACACCACTGACAGCTTACTACTAAGGTCAAAAGGACATTGAGCTACCCTCTTATTGATTAACACAGGGGTGGATCACCACCTGTCAGAGATAGACATGTCTTGACACTACACAGAAGTCACAGTGAATGTTTTGCAAAAGAGTGGATGAGTCAAGCTCACAGTAGACCAAAGCACTTAGACTGTTACTGGAGAATGACCGACCACATATCCACTGATTAGTTTTTTCAGAATGAAACACTGATAGTATCCCTATTGGAATGATTGATTGATTATGACACATTTTAATTATGCCCAAATTAAATGAATCGGCTGGCGGACTATAAAACATTGCTGTTTAATAACGAGCCCCTCCATTTGCCTTTTTTCCCTTTCTTCATCCAGTCCCATTTTGCCCACACCAAATAACCTCTCTATTTAATGATATGCAAATGAATTTTCATGAACCCCATGATCCCATGCAATGATTAAACTAAGATGACATTAGCTGCCATGCTGCTGCCACTGTCAGTGTTTCTCTCTGCATCTCTCTCTCTCTCCCTATCACTACCATCTTTCTTCGTATCCACGACAACGGCCAACTGGTGATATTAAGGGGTTCATTGTCACCATTCTCTTAAGAATTTTCTTTGTGAGAGACAACATTTCTGCATATTCAGGCTTTTCCAGTGATAGTAGGGATGGCGCTTCAGAGCCTGAAATGGTAGTTCTCATACCTCATGTGGTGGTAGTACATTGGATACATGCATGCTATGTCAAAATACAATTATTGTAGTGTAGTAACATCATATAGACGATTTTGGTAACCTTCACATCTCTTCATTTTCCACTTCCAGTGCTCCCCTCCTAGTGTTCCGTTTCAGTCCGGATCCAGCTCCACCTCTGCTGTCATTTATTGTACTCCATTTGCATAATGAAGCCCAGGCTTAATTAAGATCCCACTGGAGTCTGGAGCCAGGGATGAAGGAAAAAGGACGAGGTGGGGGGGAGGGGGAATCCGACGTTCCTTAGCTTATCCGCACGTGTCCAAATATGAGGCACAATTTAAGGGGGGAGAAAAGCGTTGATGAGCGATTAAATCGCTAATTATGATCGGCTGTTAGAATTAGTGTGTGGCTGTTAATTAGCTGCAGATGAGATGCCTAGACAGTTGCCCGCCCCTGACGACTGCAGCACCCTCCCTAACTGGCAGTACAGAAACACAGCTTGACACCCTGCCAACATATCCCTCCCTTTAACACACACAGCAGTCTGAGGGGATATCCCTTTAAGACCATCCCAGGTGTACATGTACAGGAAAGGGGCTCTTCATCATCCTTGTCCACCCACTCCCACTGTTCTTCATTAAGCAGAAAATTCCCATGTTTTTCTTCCTCCATATCCTCTTATTTTGTTCATTATTCCAATTCTTCCACAAATTCTTCCTCTCTATAATAGTGCAATCCCTCATATTAGTTCTCTGTAATGGGCAGCAGATTCCTTCCAGTGCACCAGCTGGCACTGAGCAGAGTTGGCATCGGGGAAATGGTTTTTGTCCCATACTCCTACCACACATGCATTGTGTGGTTCTGAAATCCAACCTTCTGCTACTGTTTTGTGTCTGCATTTACTACGCTTCTGTATATTTTCCAATGGTTCCTGTAAATGCCTCCTAGTTGGCGCTTGGCATGGTGCCATCTGTGTTTCTGGTTTGTCCCTTGAGGGGATGCCATCGCCCAAAACATTGAAGGCACCCGAATTGTTCTGCTCACCATATGGAGCTTTCTGTTTACAAATGTGGGTGTTATTTTGGCTTGGCACTGTGCCATCTTTCTCCTTGTACCCTTGCCGCCCCGAAGAGATGCCATCACAGAATCGCTGGCAACCGTTGTTTGGGCACCTCTTCTTGGCTTTGTTCAAGCGAGCAAACAGTGATTAGCAGCAAATCCTCAGAGGTGAGTCCCCCTGTCTTCAACTAAGACATTTCTATACTGATGGCTTTGACTGCTTCGGATACGCCATGACTTCAGGCTGGCATGGTGCCCGCTGGCTGGCACACGGTGGCTGGCACAGAGAGAAAGGAAAGTCAGAACATAGAATGCAGGATTTTGTGTCGAAATTCTTCATCAAGATCAACGGTCATCATGAAGTTACTGTTTAACAGTATGATCCATGTCCCTCTTCAATGTCCTTCTATGTTTCTCTTCGTCCATCTACATCTAAGTCATCCTCTGTCTGCTGGCATCTCGCTCACTTCTATGCGCCGCTGTCCTCTGGTATTTTCTATATGTACCTTTCCTCTTCCTGTCCTGCTGTTCCTTTCGCCCCATTGTTCCTGTGCCAAGGTGGCACCATAGTAGCACTATGGAGGTCTGTTTCTGTTCTTCTTCCATTCTTATTCTCCTCACCCTTTTGCCAATGCCCATGCCCGCCCCCGCTCAAGTCCTGACTGGATGGCACTGTGCCAACCTGCCACCGCCATCGCTCTCATTTGTAGCTCATCCCTCCGTTGCCCTTCCCCCTGTCTCTACATTTCCATCCCTCTCTCTTCCCCTATTTTCATTCATCCACTTTCTGAATGATTTACCCATTCTCTGTGTATTAAATGCTTTGTTTATATAACTATATATTCGATAACTGATGCATATATAACTTTCCATTTCTTAAATGTACGCCGCAAATTCTTGCATTTGAGAGATTTTTTGGCTCCTGAAGGAATGCTCTGAGTAACTGCCCTGTATGTAATTACCGAAGCAGCAACTTATTCCACCGAGACAAGGGAGGAAAGACGAAGAGAGCCCAGAGTTTGGAGAAAGCTTGTGTTGTTTTAATTAACTTTCACCAACCCCCATCATGTGCTTCATTTCACATCTCTAAGAGCCTTGTGCAGCCTGTGTTTGCTCACACACCCACTGTACAGCAATACTATTGATCTGATTATCAGTAAAATCAATTGTACGTCATTGACCTCACCCACTTTACCAAGATGACCCTTGCTCCCCCCTTTTCTTTATTTTTTTTGTCTCTTTAAAAACTCTCATGTCAAACAAAGGCTGCTAGTGGTGGTGAAGCTATTAAGCAAATACTCTCATTAGTACACAAAACATAATGAATATGTAAATGGTGTGTGTAATTTATGCATGGGCTGAGAGACTTGTTCTCTTATCAGTCTTCGATTGTATTGACTCTATTTATATCCCCTTTTTCTTCAAACTTTACACTCTT